GTCGATTGCCACGGCAAATATAACTTTACTTCATCAACATTCGCACCGCAGAATGTGATATGCCAAAGTGCCTGGCCCTCCTTGAAATGCACATCTGACCTGTCATCAAATGGCCTTCGTGGCAATGTGGCTTAGTGCTGGGAATGTCAAGATTGCTCAGTCCACTGTCCCCTTTCCAATCCTGCTGGCGGTGCTGATGAGACCAGCTTTGGCGAGGTTAAAACTGCAGCTCAGTTCTGTTGGGACGAGGATACTTCTTGGGAAAGCAAGGCTATGCGAAATTCAATGGAAATGTAAAGCGAGAACATTTAGCCTCAACCGAAATTGGGTGAATACGCCTCGAATAGCTGCTTACGAAAGAAAAAAAAGTTTCATTTAAAGCTAATAATCTGCTAAAATAACCGCAATGTTTCGTCTTGATCTGTCTTGCGCTTCTGCATTTGCTTTGAGCCCAAATTGTCTCCTCTTGAATGGCCATTTCAGACTCGAGTTCTTTCGTCTTGACTCTTGGGAGGACGACAGTCGACGTCGACGTCGTCTGGTGCCCAACCCGTTCGGCTCCAGACATCCGGAGGCGCGACTTCGGGCTCACCGAGGCTCTGCAACCGTGGCTCCTCTCGGTCGAGATGAGGTCCAGCAGAAACAGATTAAAGGTGCGGCAGACGCGGTTTCCGGCGGTGGCCGAGAGGCTGAGAAAAGCATTAACTGTTCTGATGGTCTTCTTGAGTCCGAGAAGGCGTCATCTGTCTCTCTGCCTCGAGACTTGGATGCGGTTCTCAAGTCGACCGGAGCTGTGCGACAGATTGCCGCGGGTCAATTGGTGCAGCCGAGCGGAGAAGAGAGGCAGGGGGACAATCAGGGCTGCACGCCATTGGAGACCGCGTCCCATGAGGGTACAGATGTTGCAGGAGATGTCGACCGAGGAGACAGGCCGGAGGAGGCGGAGTTGCAGCAAGTCGAGCAGTCGGCTTCCACTTCGCTACACAGAAATTCCGAAAATGCTCATGACCATGACAACCCATCGGTTGATGCTAACAACGAGGCTGATAGAATGTGCAATGGGTCTGACAATATGACGATGGAGGATGGAGAGACAAGTGAGCACAAAAGTGCAACGCCAGAGGAAGGAGAGAAAATGAGTGGAAAAATGAGAAAAGAGGTAGACGAACCGAAAGCAGAAGTGGATGACTATTCGTCAACACCCGAAACGAACTCAATTGCTGGAATGTTCCCGCTTCAACATTTCAACTTTCAGTATGCTCGTCTATGCGCCAGTTCTGAAAGTGAGTCACGCCAAATTGAGATTTGTTTTGATGTTGGTTCTAGTCTTGTGTCCTGCGCTAAAGTATTCATGATGATTTCCGGCAGCATACCGCTTACTCGGTACATTTCAAGTCATCATCACGAATACAATGACAGAAGACGCAGAACTAGTTACCTTCTAAAACGTCTCCCTGTCGCCCGACCAAGTTTACGAAACGAGGTCAGAACATAACAGTACAGCTGAAGGAGACTGCGACCAAACAACATGCTACATATACGAAGAAAAGTTGGGTTTCGAAGAATCTCTTGTTTCATAATTGTTGGGCTTACTTCCATTTCGAG